ATGAGTCCGATGTATCTGTTGAAGCTGATGTCAAAGAAATTTACAAGAAAATCTTTTAAAACGAACAATAACAGTGACTAATGAGAATAAGTAAGTTAATTTACTGTTTCTTTTTATTATTATAATTAGTGCCAAAAAATAACGAACAATACAGAAGAAAACTTATTTTATTGTCAAATATTTTGAAAAGATTAGATTTTCAAAGACACGTACAGCCATTTATAAGTTAGAGTAGAATGAGATAATTGCAACTAAAATTTTTAAGTTCTAAAAATGTCGTTTTATTACATTTTAAGACAAACAAATGGTAGTCATAATTATCCTGCAATAAATGGTCATAGTAATGGATTTCACGAAACAGACGCTAATAACGATGATCTGAAGGACAATGAATACACTAATGATTCTGATATACCATCAAATGGTTGTTTAGAAATAATTATTCAAATGTTAATATCTGGTTTAAGTGATAAAGAGTTGTATGTTCGTTGGTCATCAGCAAAAGGTATTGGACGTATAACAAATCGTCTGAAAAAAACGTATGCAAATGAATTAGTTTTGTTATTGTGTGATCGTATCGATAAAGTTGCTCTACTAGCTTGTGATCATTGTACATTACAAGGTGGATGTTTAACATTAGCTGAATTAGCTCGACGTGGTCTATTATTACCAATACGTTTAAATATTGTCATACCAATTGTATTAAAATCATTAAATTATGATGAAAAACTAGGGCATCAAACATATGGACACGTTGTTAGAGATGCAGCTTGTTATGTAAGTGTTATCAATCAATACAAACCATTAGAATAATATGAAAATGTGCGCTCATTTAGATTTGTTGGGCATTTGCACGAGCATTTAATCCATCGGATTTTCAGTCCTATATTACCGATCTAGCATGTATGTTATTGTGTATCATATGTTTTGATTGGAGTGTTCAATGTCGACGAGCTGCATCGGCTGCTCTTCAAGAAAATGTTGGAAGACAAGGTGATTATTTTCCACATGGTATAGATATTATACTTAAAACAGATTATAGTTTAATTGGTAATACTACCTATTGTTACATTGAATTGGCACAATCAATAGCAAAATATGATGTTTACCGATATTATTTGATTGAACATTTGCTAAAATAAAAAGCAAACATGTGCTGTAATTCTTGTAACTTCAATTTTAATCAGATATGTCAAATTGTTGTGTATGCATGAAAACATCAGATTACATGATACAATGAATCGCTCATTATTTATATATTTTTTTAAACTTTATTATTGCGTCCATACTTTTTCTTTTTCATAAAAAACGACATATAAATTCTTACTGAGTTGTTTGATAAAATGCGTTTGCAAAATATTTCAATGCATTTAAACCGGTTCCTCTAACATCTTCATCAAAATTACTAATACAATCGTCTAATATTGTTTGCCAACGATTGATTGTTGCGGGTGAAAATATAGTTGATGCATCATGCTTAATTCCCACAGAAAAATAGTTCAATGAACGTGAAATATTACATATAAATGAACATAATGCTGGACGGATAACATCACCAATATAACCATCTAAATAGCCTAATTCTTTGTATTCAACTAATAAATTTTCAATTTTTTGTCGTAATATGTTAATGTTCTCAATTTCTTGTTTATTATCTTTTTCATTATTGTCCTAAAACAAATAACATCAACCAAATATGAACAGCAAATTGATACAAATTATTCAGACTTTTTGCATGTCCTGTACATCGACTCCTATTTTCTTTCATAATATAAGAAAAGATTACAATACCCACGTAGTCTTGACGTGACTATTTTTTGTTTTTTATCTTCTATACTTTCGAATTTATAAGTTTTGAAATAGAATAAAATGAAACGTTAGTACTTACTTGTTGTGTTTGTTGTTGACGTTCATATAATGCCAATACAATATGTCCACAGCTAAACAACAGACCATGTCTCGCTACAGCATCGTTTTTCTTGTCTAAACACTGTTCAAGTAATGGAAACAATATTTTATCATAAATATAATCAATCTGACAATAATTTAACGTTAAAATTTCTAATATTTTACTTGTTAATATTCTAGTCTCTTTATTCCAATGACATACTTTATATTTTAGCAAATG